GAAAGAGTGAAAATAGTATAGCTTTCTACATTTTTGCAGTCCATTTTTTTTTTTGAACCAAAAGCTTCAAATAAAGTGTGTTTTAAGTATGGCTGTAACTGAAGGAGATGAGAGGAAGAAATACTTTTGCACAAAATAACCTTTGAATTTACTAACAGCTGGAGAGGAATGTAGCAATTCCCCCACCCCTGTGTTTTCATTAGGGTTTTTGTTAGCAGGAAATGGAAAAATACACATTAAAAATGTGAAATGATTGAAAGAAAGTGTCTTTCTGAGTACATTCCAGGTTTTCATTTTTTTATGACTTGTTTCAGCTGTTAATACTAGGCTCTTTTTCTGCTGACTTGATTCCAGCTGTTAAAATACTAGTTTATACCAGGCATTTCTGGTATTGGTTCCTACTGGCATGAGCTTGAATTTTGTACTGCTGAATTTTTTATTTTTTAAATACCATTTCACAAGATATTCCTGGCTTCCAAGTAATTACAAGATCAGAATATTGTACACAGTCTGTTTTCCCTATTTAGTAGCCTTTTAAATAGTCATTGGCCAAGAGCAAATGACCTGTCTTCCAAGTTTTGGAAACCACTGGAATCGTGCTAGTGTATGTGTAACTGGATCAATGCCTGGAAGATCTGTTTAGTAGCCATAATTTGCTTACATGACATAATATTTTTTTTTTTAATGATTATGTGGTTTAAAAACCATCTAGGAACAGCAATTTAAAAGTAATTTTATTCTTGAAATATCTTGCATAAGGAAAAAAAGACAGATGACATTGTTCTAGGATTATTGTGCATTTTCTGTTTAATTCAGTCAAATATGTTTGAGTACCACTGGGATCTTTTTTCTTTTTTTAGAAGTATATATTAATTTGCACAAGGAGATGTAGATTTTTCTATCCCACTGTAGAGAATCAAACTGGCACGGCTGGTAAGTTTGTCCTGTGTATGCGATAAATAGTAATAAATTGAGACCAATGTAGCTTTTGTTCTGTGCAGGTCATTTTTTGCTTGAATATATGGTATGTTCCATGTATACAATAGATCTAAATAAATACTTATTTCAGAGAAGCCTAACTTAAATGTCTTTACTACATACTGGTTTTCTTGATGTGTTGTGCTCAGCTTCTCAAGGCCTTTTCATTTAAATCAAGGTCACTGGTAGTAATCTCTTGGTGCAATGTCAATCTCAATTATAGAGGCGATAACATAATGAAATTGAACAATTTTGTGTAGATAAATTTCAAACAAACTTAGCCTGACATTTGACCTAAATAGAAATGCGTATTCATAATTAATGTATTGGAAAATATTTGGGGATAAAGTAGTGCAGTGGTGTTGAATAGTAGTATGTCTGTAACCAAAATACTGGAAAATTCATGTTATTTGAAATATTTTTAACAGTGGTCCACAGATATTTTAATTTATGATAACAGCTTAATTTCACACTGGAAATAACATGGAATTCTGTCCATTTTCATGTACCTGCTGTCTATGAAAAGACTCCCTAATAGTTTATTTACAATCAAGGTGGGAGAGAAATTGAATGTAATTCAGAGCATCTTGAGACTGTTGTTCAAGTCGACTTGCTATTTTCAACATATTGCTTAGTCACTGTAATTATGATCTCTGCAAGACACTAGGTATTGTAAAGGAGTGTCAGCTCCTCTAATTAGCAGTAGACAAATACTATTTAGAAGTTGCAATACAGAAAGGTGAAACCTAGACCAGAAGTGTAAATCTGGTGGGAGACGATAGACTAAAACAGTCAAAGTGTCTGGATGCATTTGGTTACTTTACAATGATTTTACACATGTAAAAATAAATGTGTTATCCCACAGTCTGTAGGCATTAGGTTCTCTGTTTTTAGAAACTCAAGGTGCATCTTTAAATGTGTGACCCGAGCCAAGGGTTACACTTGGATAACAGGACCATCTGTATTATCAGTGTGGTATTGGAGAGCACTTGCCAGGCATATTGAATCTCATGTTGTCACAGATGCATTGTTCAAGCTTAAATGAAAAGGGGAAGAATTGCTTTGTAATTCTGCTTTTGGTTTGGTTTTTTTTTTTTTTAACTGATTAGCTGTTGTATTTGCTGAGTTTGGTAAACACTTTTTGGCATCTCTGTGCCCTGTCTCAAGGGTTTTTGCTTCCTTCTTCTCTGTGGTATATAATGGTCTGGTTACCCCTGCCTTTGGCCAGAGCTTACCCTCTGTTGAGATAGAGATCTGCCATACAGTGGATGAATAGCTAAGTCATAAACTCTAGGACTTCTTTACAAACTTAAGTTATGGTCCTTCATTACAATGTGTTATGACCTCCTGTTTTTTCTTTCCGTTAATAGGGTCTGTTTTTACGCTAAAAGTTCAAGTGAATGACATCATCAGTCATCAGTACCTGCGACAAGCAGTTGTAGAAGTGTTTGTTAACTACACGAAGACAAATTCTACTCTCACTGGAAACAATGGAGCAGTATTAATAAAAGTTCCCTACAAATTGGGATTAAGCTTAACTATCGTATCATACAAGGATGGCTACATGTTAACACCTTTGCCTTGGAAGACTGGGAGAATGCCAAGTACGTAAGCGTCTTACAGTCCTATTATTAAACTGTATCTGTTGGTAATTAAATTTCTTTCTTCCTCAGCAGTCTGGGTAGTTACTGTCAACTGAAAATGACAGAATGAAGTCAGTCAAGGGAGGTGGTGCCTGTCAATGCAGATGTAAGGGTGAATGATCTGTTAGACTTGTCAAAATTCTTATTATTGTAAAACAGAAAATAGCCCTTTTTAACTCTAAGCAAGTTATATTGCGTTACTGTGAGTGTATTCTGAGAAATTGTTTACCTAGACTTAGCAAAGGGCTGATAATATGTTTTGACAAAAAACATGTTGTCTTCAGTGATTCCTGGAGTGCCAATGCTTTGAGTCCTGTATAACAGGTATAACCTGTTGTTATAGCTTCCTTTCAGCAGTGTTTCCTCACAAGTTTTCCTGTTTAACTATTGCAGGCTCTTAACAAAGTTATATGTTGTTTTTTGTTTGGTTTTGTGTTTTTTAAAAAAAAAGAGATGGACTCTTAGGAATTCTAGCCACTTGTTTATCCATAGAAAGCATAAGACAGTAGCAGACATACAGCAGAGGTCTTCCTGCCTAACCACTAGAAGTCATGCTCTGGACAACAGGAGTAATTCATGTATCCAGTCTTCATATACTCTCTTTTTTTTTTAACTGCTCTATTCACTATTCCTTCAGAATCGGAGATCTTACAGGACTTTTTTTGGTCGCACAGTGTAACAGATATTATCACTTTCCACAGTATACTCATCTGTGACGCTTTCATTATTCCCACAAAGTCAAGCTAATATATGGCTGTTTGAAGATACTGTCTTAATTACTGGAAAACTGTCTGGTAAGTTCAGTGTATGCAGACCACAATCTAAACACTTTGTGATAACCATCTGTACACGTGAAAGAAAAAAAAAAGCATGTTCATATTCTCATATAATACCTATCTACTCAAAGCCAGATTTTCAGTTAATTGTGTAGCTGTATGTGTGGCTGTGACAAGTGCTAGAGTAGAAATACACAAACTGTGGAGCAAATGGGTGAAAACAGGTTGTTATGCTAAGTGGATTTCTGAGCAGTAATAAAAACACTGTTTGTGTGGTTTACCATTGCTAAGACAAAATATTACTCTTTTACAGATGCCAAATCTCAACCAAGTGTTCAGTTTCCAAAATTTTTAATAAAGCTTCCAACAAATCACCATATTACAAATATTACAGCCTATCTGACAGTGCCAGAGCAATTTTTGAAAGTGGACAGCTTTCTCTATACAACAGGCATTCTTTTAAATAAATCAGGTATGTAAATATGTTGTTTAAGATTTTTTTTAAAAGAAGAGATCTTCAAATTATAATGCATATGAGTGCACAGTGTTTCAGAAAAACATACGCTTAAATTAAAAGGGCCTGAAATGGCTTCGATTGCATTAAATCACAAAGCTTTGTTCTATAGGAGTAGGCTATAAACACATGAGGTAAGTAAGTGATGTCATTCTTTATCTTGTTCCGTGTAGTATGAGAACATAACATATCTTACTGCACTGAAATACTCCTTCAGAGCCTGCTTTTTTACATACATATAAGTGTGTGTGTATATGTATATGTTCAGGATTTCATGAGACTGTGGAACTGGTTTAGTAAACACCTTAAAAACACGGTTATGGCCAGAGTGTAAACTAGGTGAATCTAAAGAAATCAGTGAAACTGCAGCAGACTTCAGCTGTGGGGTTTTCTGTATTTTCACCAGAATGACTGGCTCTAGGAGCTTTACACCTAGCATAAAGATTGTATGGAAGCTTTAGTTTGGTTCACAGACAGTTAATCTGCGTAAGCCTGTTTGAAGCCAAGTAGTCACTACGTATACAGAGCACAACTGTAATAATGTTTTCTGTGCATCTGTCTCACGGGAGAAGCAGTAAGTGGTTTCATGAGTCATTATAACTCTGCTCATAGGCAGTTGTATCTTTTAGTGTTTGTCATTCTATCAGGTTTTTTTTACTATTTGCATAAATACGGTAATCTCTGGTAGACTGTACTGTGTGCGGTTCCATCTTCCTTTTGTTCTTTCCTTTCTATTCTCAGTGGACCTGAAGCCATGAGGCTCTTAAATTCATTGCAGTGCATGAGGAGGCTTATTTGAACTTGTCATGTTCCCTTCTTTAATTTTCATTGAATTAAAATCATTACATATATTGATATCTTGACTTAGATATTTTAAAACCTTTCTTATATTTAAAGAGGTGAAATATAGATAAAGCATAAAAAAATAAGCAGTGTTTCTCCCCTTCGAGTTTTCCTTTCAATCTGTCTGGCATGTGTTTTAAATTATTCATATACTCTAAAGGAATAGGCTTCCTTTTAGGGCAGGTGGAAGCTAATTGATATCTGATGTGCCAGGAGTTTTCTCACAACCAGCTTCTAAGAGCTTGCATAGATTTAACGTTATTCTGGTACTTACTTATTCTGTTTCAGCTTCTTTCACCATCCTGTCATATTGTGCATTCCGAAGTATTTGCAGATCAGTGTAAGGAAAAGAAAGGAAACAAAACTCCCAGGCTGCATTGTAAAGCTTTGTATATGCAACATTTCCTTTGAGTGCTTTGACAAGCTTCATGATTAACTATTCAGTTAATTATAACTGCCAAATTAGAAAGTTATTCCTTACAGGAAAGTTTAAGAGGACTGTTCAACTAAGGAGAAATGCAGGAGTCATATATTTGCATGTGTCTTCAGTTTGATTTAATGTTATGTGTATTGCAATTATACAAAAAAAATCTTATAATATTACATATTTCACATAGGTTAGCTATTTTGTAATCAAATTATCTGAGGGGAAAAACCCTTCTTCTTCCACCTCCAAGCCAAGTTTTGCCTAATCATTGGTTCTACAGTCAGCATTGAACCTATATGTTAAAAGTTTGTTTCTCTTTTACAGATTTGGTACGGAAATGACTGGGTTTTATTTTAATCACAAGATTTTAAAAGTCTAGAAGAGAAGAAGTGTTGATTTTTATTTGACCAAGTTGGTGACAGCCGGCTGTGTAGCTGGATGTGAATGAGGGCTTGCCTTTAGTTATAATGAGGATAGATTCTTAATTCTAAATATTTTTTTGAAAAAATACACTGTGAATGGAGAATTACAGACAGGATATTTCTCACATACAGGTTTCAAAAGCATGGAATTAGCTCCTCTTGCTGCAATATGTGTAAACGTTCTTTTGACTGGGAAAGAACTGAAAGTAAGTGGTCCCATTCAGATTACACTTCCTCTTCCCACAAGTGCTGTAAAATCAGGAGATGCTATACCTGCATGGACATTCGATATGAAAGCTGGTAAGTGGGCTAAGTTATTTATTATTCTACCTTTTAGTACATGTATATAGTTTTGGGCACATGACACTGTCATGGAACAGTGATGGCACTAATATATGAGGTAATGGTAAATAGTCACAAATTTTGTTAGGGCTTCTGTATCGTTTTTTGATTAACTAGCTTGAATTTTCAGAGGAATTTCCCTGCTTTCATTAGTTCAAAAAGCTTTGGTAAAATTAATTAGCATTCCTGTTGAACAAATTTTTAATGTAATGGATTTTTATTTTCATGGGAGGCTAAGGATCCAGGGAACCTATGTTTTAGGTGATGTTAAACTTTAAGCCTGGTATTTTGTGAATGCCTTCCTAAAAGAAATCAAATCAGAATTGAAGACTTGGATGCTTTGTTTCCTGGAGTATAGCTCTAATGATCCTTTGGCACTAAAACTGGAATAGATATTACTTCAGTTAACAAAAGCAATTCAGAAAGTGAAATGAAGGGGAAATAACGAGTTATCAAAGGGAACAACATAGTTCTTGCAGTATGCATGGGAAGAGGAGGCTGGGGATTAGACATTGTAAACCTTTTGTCATCCCCTCATGTCTAATTTTAGTCAAGAGTGAGTAATGAGCTACATACACTTATACCATTTAGATGTCCTCATTAGGGGTGTGTGTGTGCATTAGTGTACTGATTGTCTTACATTGTACCTTACGCTTTCCATCACACTTTGTCTTGAAATATGCAAGTGAGTGAAGAGGTGTCTTACTCCTTATTAACGCAAAAAGCTGTTAGTCAACTGTTGGAAGTACAGGAGGGGACACCACTCTAACAAAGTGTTGTTTACATGTTCAAGAAAGAAGCTGATCGTCTTAATGAAGAACAACCAAAGAACACTAATTTGAATTAAGAACATGCTAATAAAAAATTGGCTAGGTTGTCTCTTGAGAAAAGAGTGAATAGAATAAGTTTTGGCATAGAAGATTAAGTCTGTCTATACACCTAGGAGACTTCAGAGGGATAACTGGTGATGAGACAGCATTCTTCATGAAAGAAAGGGTTTTAGTCTGATATGGTAAAATAGCACAAGGGGGTTTAATTTCTTGCTGCCACAGCCGCTTTTGCCAGCTCCTGTGCTCATCTGCACTTACGCTGAGCTGTTTTAACTCACTAAACAGAAAACTAAGTCAACAATGTTATTAAAACAAAAAGTTGACAGCCAGAGCAGCTCGACACAGGCTCAGGTTAGAGTATAAAACAGTGCAAGGTGTGTATGTGGGTGTTGAGGGGCCTATTCAACATGTCTACTTAGGCATGTTGGCCTTGGGGCTAGAGCAAGAGCAGGAGTGTGGCATGCTGACCCAATAAGAACAATTAAAACAGTTGTTTTTCTCCTCTCAGATGGGGTATACTCTGATAGAGGTTGTGTAAAGGTAAATTGTTTGTGATGGGTACTCAGTGAGGTGTAGTGTTCGCATGGAGCCTTCACTGCTGCTTGCTGAGGAGAGGACAAGGAGGACTGTGGACAAGGAAAGGGACTTTTTGGGCATAACTCTAACTTCCACTCTTTCTTCCACTTCCTCATCTCTTCTCCACAGTGAAAATTTGCAACTGTATTCACTGTTCTGGATGTTTATTCTTAAATATGTTTCGTTTATTTCTACCTTTGATCTGACATGTGCAAAACAACTTCTTTCTAAGCTAACTGAGCAAGGGATTCCTTAGTCTGGGTTCTGGTGACTGAGGGCAGGTGGACAGCTCAGCGCTTCAGCAAGTGTTTGAGAGCATCCATAAGTAGCAGTAGGCCCCCATCTGAGCTGAATGGAGAGCTACCGCTGCACTGAATAATGAGGCTCTGGCATCCGAGGTGTTGCATGTGGAATGTCCCCAGCAAGATGTTGACACACTTTTAAACTCTAAAGTCCTTGAGTAATACATCATAATGGTAATCAGAGCTTCCATGTTAGTATTCATAGGAACAGGTCTGTGTTTGATGTTGTGTAGACTGATCCATATGTACCAGAAAAAAAGATAGAAACTGCTTTCACATATCTGCTCGTGCAGTATTCCCTGGGGTTACTCAAAGTGTAATAGTACTGAGACTGTTCCTGGAAAATGAGCTTTTGTAATTATATTCCAGCTGCTGCAAATGCAGTATTTGTTGATGCATATTGAATGTGGCTTCCTTCTTACTAAATATTTTGTCTCAGTACCAAAAGTACTTTGTGGATTTTAATACAATTACAAAAACAAAAAAAAAGCTTGCATTGCAACATTAAATTGAGAATTATATCCTTCTGTTTGAATGGCAGTAAATCATAGAGAATATGTGCTTACTCAAGAATCACATTTTAATGTTTTCCTTAATATGTACTATTTTCTATTGAGCATATTGGGGGGGAGATGCAATTTACTGAAGAGTACAGCAAAGATTATATAGCTGCTTACAGATTTGTTCAGTGAAGATAGAACTTCTGGAGACCTGGAATTTATTTTGCTGGAATATGTGGTGTTTTATGTTGGTTTTTATCTGCCTGTAAGTAACCCACCCTCTATACTTGTAAAACAATAGTTTTGCAGTATAGTGACATCTTGCCTAAGAGTTGACAGGACAGAGAATTTGAGGATCTGTTGTTGTTGCCCCCATATGAGAGTTAGGGATGGAAGACTCTTTGGGCTGGTCTTGCTCCTGAGTCTGGACAAGAGGCTTTCCAGGTAACTGAGAAACCACCTCTTTCGGGGCTCTAGGTGGCTGCTGCTGCTATTCCCATCTGCCAGCCATCACCAGGACCAGGAGGAGGCTGCAAGTTTTACTGCTGGATAATATTTTGTGTGTGTGTGTGTCAGTGCATACCTGCATATGTGGCATGTGTCAGTTCTCATCTTTACCTCCTGTCTGGTAGATATTTCCTTTTGCTTCTCCGAAAGAAGGGTCCTGGAGGAAAATCGAAATTATAGGGCTTGTATGAATTATACTTCTTGCATGCTTTGGTTATTGTTGTTTTAAAAAGGCTGGTGGTTCTCTCTCCTTCTCAGTATTTGCAGTTTGAAAATGTAAGGTTGTTTATATGAGGTTGTTTTCTGCCCTTAGGATTTCACAGATGGCCCACAATAAATGTGTTCAAGTGTGTTAAGTATAATTCTGTCTCTTCTACTGCATGCCTTATTAATTGTAGAAGCTGGCATACCATAATACCTGTCCTTTGCATTGCCAAACAGATGGTGTGGAATCTGTGTCCTAACAATAGACCTTCCTTGGGCTATCTGAACTGTTATTGCCGTGGGGCAGGGAGGAGGAGAGAAACATTCAGGACAAACATTGTTTATCCTTTTGTAGCTTATTAGATTAAAAAGCTTTCCCAATAAGTTCTGCTAGCTAATGTTAAACTTATATTCATATGCTTAAATTACCTGCTCCTTGATTTTTGTAGTCTTGGCCTTCATACATACTTAAGCTCATATAATAGGATTTTTCAAATTATTTGTGTGTATATCTATGAAAGACATTTGTCAATAGAAAATGAGTGATCTTAAATTCATTCCAGTAAGTAATGCTGATGCTTTATTTCAAAGTAAATGTCCACACAGGGATATTTGCAATGAAATTGTCAAGAGAGGAAAGTTTGCATGTTTAGCTAAAGCCGTGTAATAAATAGTGTATGGTCAGAAGTTTCAGTTTTTCTTGTGACCTTGTGTATTTTTTGGTAATAGCTTAATTGCTAATGGTTTGACGTATAGAAGAATCCTCTATGTCATGTGCAATATTTTGTCTTTTTTTTTCTTTTTTTTTTTTCAGGTGCTTGGGTAAGCCGTGGGCTAGGAATGGTAAAGGAAGCAGATGGTCAATTAGTATGGACATATACTGCTCAACACTTAGGATACTGGATAGCAGCTCCACTGCCTGGAACAAGAGGTATTGCAACAACTGGCAAAGAAATTACTGAGTAACCCAAGTAACAGTATACCATAAGGCTGTCAGTTTGATGGCTTTACTTAACAACAGAAAGGGAAAGCTGACAAGCAATTTCAACAGTTGGATAACTTTTGTTTGAATCCGATAGTGTGCTTTTGTGCACATAACCATTTCCTAGAACTTCAAGTGCTATAGGGGGAAAAGTCCAGACTGTATTTGAACTTACATGTTTATACTATCGCCATCTTTTGGAAGAAGCCTGCAAGGGAACTGTGACTATGGGGATCTAAAAATCAGTGGGACTGTATCCCTTACTGTTGAGGATCATGTATGACAGGAGGAAATACAACAAGAAAGTTAGTCTTGGGTAAAACAGTCCCAGTGGATTCTTTTTGTGTAAACTTGTTGCATGTTTTTCAAATTCATATGAAGGGATTCTTATGGGAGAAGTATGGTGTTGAAATTCAAAAACAGATAGTACTTTCTGACAGAAGCACTAAATAGAAAATGTAGACCATGTTTCTAGGTCAGTTTGGACAATTAATACAAATGTAATTTGACTGGAATTGAGTAGATGTCATGGTAAGTCTTCAGTATTTGAGATTAACCTTTGAAGATCCATTATATTGTAACCACTGTTTGTATATTTTCTAGTTTGCAGAAATAGCAAGGTGAAAAGGGAGGCATGAATGTAGTGCCATAGGAACACAAAATCACTGGAAAAGTACAGCTTAATTTATTAGTTACAGCTCTGCATATCAAGCGGAACTATTTATTTTTGAGAACTAATTCTTGTCTGATTTTGTTTGACAATCCAGAATCCATTATTAGTGCAGTTTCCAAGGACATAACAGCCTATCACACAGTGTTCCTTACAGCCATACTGGGAGGTACTGTTGTCATTATCATTGGATTTTTTGCTGTTCTTCTTTGTTACTGCAGGTAAGCAAAAAGAGAGGCTTTAATAAGCTCAGCATGAATGGAATTTAAGGTTGATAAAATAGTCTTTTGAAGTTGGGACTTGTTTCCTTAGCTAAACTATAATGTGTAGCCTAGTATTTCTTTTAAAAATTACAGTTATTACAGAACTTCATTTTAAGTTTGTGACGTCACATTACACTATAACTTCTTAACCAAAACCTAATCTTCAGCTCTGGTAGTCAACAGCCTAGTATTTCCTGGTATGCTCTACAGTCACCTTGCATCTCTTTTGCATAGGGATAAATGTGGTCGGACACAAAAGAAGGAAAAAAATACAACTAAGCTGGAGGTCATAAAAAAAGACCAGACAACATCAACAACTCACATAAATCACATCAATGCTGTCAAGGGGTCTTCGAAGTTGGAGGATAAGTCACAGTTATATACACCGAAGATTTCTTCATACAGCCCTCAAAGAAGGATGTCCATAGACGTGGAAGATGGAAAATCACGAGACAATTTTAAAATCTACACAGAGGATGCTTCTTATCAGTCAGCCTGTCAGACTGGTCAGTCAAGAAATTCAGCACATTCATTGGAGCCTAATGCTGGAGTTAGGCACTTACAGCAGCCAAAGCATAGTAACAGTACTATTTCCCAGGCTCCTAGGGACATTCAAGACCAAAACAGATACCTTTCACTGAAAGAGGAGATGTATGGGCTTTCCCATATCCCAGAACATCTAATGCATATTTACAATCAACCTATTGCTATTCTTCAAACCTCTGACCTTTTCCACTCCCCAGAACAACTGCATCCTGCGAAATCAGCAACTTTGCCAAGAAAAGGGCAGTTAGTATATAGCCCCATGATGGAACCCATGAATCGTGACAATTACATGCAAACGTTACCAAAAATGCCAGTGCACTCTCATCCACAGCCTTCTGTCTGCAGAGATGAAAACAGTACACTAGATAGTGAAGAGGGCTTACCTTCTCAAACGTCAAACTGGGGCCGGTACACTAATAGCTTACTGGAATCTGTCTCTGTTCCTGGGACATTGAATGAAGCAGTTGTAATGACTCCGTTTTCATCTGAACTTCAAGGTATTTCAGAACAAACATTGTTGGAACTCTCTAAAGGAAAACCATCTCCGCACCCTCGAGCATGGTTTGTGTCCCTGGATGGAAAGCCAATTGCTCAAGTGAGGCATTCTTTCATAGATCTGAAAAAGGGCAGAAAGACAGAGAGTAATGATACCAGTCTGGACTCTGGTGTGGACATGAATGAACATCATCCTAGTAGGAAACTGGAGAGAGAGAAAACTTTCATAAAGAATATGCCGCATTCTAAAATCCTTTACTTGGAAGATCTGGATCTGAGTAGCAGTGAAAGTGGGACCACTGTTTGCACTCCAGAGGACCAGGCTGTGAGGCACATTCTGGATGGAGGGAATGGGCCAGTCATAGAACACGATGAAGAAGGTCTAAGAAGAAAAACTGTATCAGGAAGTCATGAATCTGGTATCCCTTCTGCTAAAAAAAGGGATAGACCGTCTATCGTGAAAAGAGATAGCAAAACCAATATCTGGAAAAAAAGAGAGGAGAGGCCGCTTATTCCTATAAATTAAAACACAATGTGCTTTGTGGTGTTGCCCTCCCTGCTGGTTATTGACCTCTTGGCTGCTTCTGTAGTTTTGCAGTGTTGGGTTTACAAGGGAAATGTTGTTTCTAGTATCAAGAAAAGTCACATTTTTTTAATACACAGATTGAGTTACTACACTTCAACTGGGCAATTGATATTCAATGTGAATTGAAAACAGGGAAATGCTACTACTAAAGCTTCCCAGTTCCTAATTTTGCTGGCAGTGTAGGGGAGGCC